AACCCTGAAACAACCTCTGGGCTGATCTAAGTCAGGACATGACTAAAACTAAAAGCTGAAACAACAACATCTGGACTGATTTCATTATTTGGTTCAGCGCACTTAGCCGATACAATTCTCTACTTACCGCTCACGACATTGGGTCCCAGTCCTTCCCGGTACAAATTCCGCCACTCTTTCCCAGTTGAGTTTCCCAACAAAGCGAACTGCTTCCAGGAGATTCTAGTGGGAAATGATTTATAAAGCTACTTTAAATGACTATAATATAATAATATAATATGACACATATAACACGCGCTCGATTCCCCATTCCGAAATTCAAAGGAAGACTGGTGCCGAATCCACGCCGCTTGGAATTCTGTGGAATTCTGTGGTAAACATACTTTCTTTCTTCGAAGATATGTTGATCGTCCATGTTTATGGAAGTCACTGTCGATTCTATAACTGCTGAAGTGGAACTCCCTGGTGTTTTACTTTTCTTTGGTACTTCATTTTTGACAATTTCACGTCGTTTATGTACGGTCTTAGACCAGGTGAATATCGATGGCAACTGAGTACGACTACATCTCTCTCCTCCTGAAAGCGTTTACCACATATCTTTGTGCTCGTCGATGATACTCTGAGATTATCGTTTCTTATCAGCCGTTTGTATTCCCTAAGAACCTTAGGATCTCCCGGAAGTGCATGGAACTTCAATCCAGGAGGATTTCTCCAGTTATTTGTACAATTCGGAACGCAACAGTTGTATTTCCCCATACTTTATCTCCGCCCCAGAATTCCAAGCGGCGTGGATTCGGCACCAGTCTTCCTTTGAATTTTGGAATGGGGAATTGGCTAAAGCCCTATATGACTTGCTTTTACATGGATTGCACGCTCGCGTTATTCTACTTCTCAAGTTTCGCCAATATTTTTCAAAATGAACGAATCTTTGGAATATTGGTAAAACATTTTCAGCGATGAGAAATTTTTGGACCGAATTTTGACATATAATTGCGCTAGAAACAGGTAAAGTGAAACATCCAAAATAGGTTTCAGGGGCAAAAATAAGCGCCGCGCCTCGTAAAATTCTTTTGTAATCGTCCTATTTATTTCTTTCTCGTGCGGCTGTCTGTCTGTGGCATGGCCGTTTGTTGACTAACTGATAATTCCATTAGGGAAGGTACCCAGAGCCCGCGTTCCTCTTGGTCGGCACCAAGAAACGAGAGAATTTTTTGAGCATTCTGATTGGTTCAGGGGGGAAACAATAGAGGTATTTCTTTAAGGAAATGTTGTAACGCTGCATCTATAGCAATACATACATAATTCTCCTCTGTGGTCCATCGTCCTTTTCTTGATGGTTTACATGCCTTCATGTAACGATTCATACACTGTTCGCCCATACGTCCTTCCAAGTAACCTGCGACTAAATAAACAAACAAACATAAAAAACTGCTATAAATCTGGCATTCTTATTGGTTGGGGCGCGTGCTTTATGAGAGCACACATCACTCACGCGCCCTTGTATTTTATAAAAGAAATATAAAAACTTGCTCACTGTGCTGTGTGGAGTTATAAAGCACTTGGGAATTGGCAGAACACTCGAGAAGTGTTCTGCTTCTCTCGTGCTCCACCTATCCCCGCGTTCTTTATAACAGCACACAGCACGCGCGCGCGTTTTCTATTTCTTCAAGATAGCATGCTTTAGGAGGGCCACAGGAAGCCCAATATTGGTTTTTGCCTCGGCGTATAGACCCCTGGCAGAACTTCGGAATGCAGTTCAATTTGGAGGACATAACAATAGGTTTCCAATTCTCAGGAGATTGAAATTCTTTTGTTTTGTCATCCAGATTGAGTGCTTTGACATCACATGCAAGAAGTCTATAGATACCTTGGAGGATTCCCTCTTCTTGAAGATTGAAAAAGTTTTTGATTGTAATATTTTTCATTCTTTTGAGCCCCAAGTAAAGAATTAGTGCAAGAGGACTATAAAACTCTTTAACCCCGGCATTTCAGAGCAAGTGTCATTTCTTAGAGTATCATTTCTTTCAACTCAAACAAAGAATCTTATTCTCAAGAGAATGACACGTCTTAAATGAGAAAACAATACGCGTGAGGTGAAGAGGTCTATTATGGCAAATGGTGAGGAATGTAGATCAGCTTCAGGACAGGGCAGAAAAACGGGTTCTACTTTCGACGTTTATGCGTTAATAAGCTTTATATTTTATAAACAGGCTCTTTTGGGGCTGATTAACAAAATACCAAAATTTGGGGAAATTTAAGGGATGCGTATTTGAGATATAACGCCCTGAACGTTGAGAGAGATGATATTTTGATCAGCACAAAAACTAACATTTTCGTTAATACCTCGAAGTAGAATTGCTCAAGGTTAGCAGAATTTTGAAAAGTTTAAAGCACAAGAGACACGTATGAAACACTAAACGTTTTTTAGCATGAATGAGAGATAAAGAAAAAAATTGCAAAAGTAGCAGCCTTGTCGTTTTTCTGCTCTGTCCAGCTTCAGTGATTTTGGAAGATTATATTTAATAAATGAATGCATTACTATTTAACACTTACTTCTCTGCCAGTTCCCCTCGCCAAATATCTTGACCAACTCTGTGAGCTGCTCGTCTTCCTCAGGCGTCCATTTGCTGAAATCACACGTTCAAATACTGAGATATTATAAACCATACTCTGATCGCTCTATCTGGTAAGAGTTTTCTCCGAGTAATTTAGCTTCCCAACCTTTCACATCCAATTACCAATACTCATTGATAATAGTAGCATCAGCAACAAACGTGGTTATCGTATGAGTGAGAAAACTTACTTTATCTACAATACCTACAATACCTACAATACCTACGGTACGACATGCCGTGACATTGAAGTGGCTTCCCATAAGAATGGTTATAGTATGAGTGGGAAACGTACGGTACTGACTTACAGAACTTACACAGTACGCCATGCTATAACAATGAAATGGCTTCCCATTTATCGTATGAGTAAAAAAAACTATTCGGTACTAACTTACAGCACGTAAACGGTACGACATGCCGTAACATTGAAATGGCTTCCCATAAACATGGTTATTGTACGAGTGGGAAACATACGGTACTAACTTACAGCACGTACACGCTACAACATGCCGCAATATTCAAATGCCTTCCCATAAGAATGGTTATCGTATGAGTGGAAAACATACGGTACTGACTTACAGTACCTACGCGGTACGACATGCTATAACATTGAAATGGCTTCCCATAAACATGGTTATTGTATCATAACGACTTTTACATACCTTCTCAAGATTTCTTTATTTAAACTTCTTTGGAAGCGTTGGTAACACTGGAGTGGCGTTCTGTTCGTCTAGTATAGTATACAGAACAAAAACATATTTGCAATAAACTCCAGTATTATATCTATCCAATGGGAATTTTTAACTTTTCCACTGCCGTCAACTACGAATATAGCGCTCGGTAGCTCTTGTATTTCATCATTTCGGATTAATCATATCCCCGACCCCTTTCTCACAACCCAGCCACCCCCACCCCCCGCATCACTTGAAAATGACTAGTCTCTGAACGCACCTACATTGTCTGTGCAATATCATTCCAGTTGATCTCATCGTGATTCTTGTCTTTGGACAAACCATGTCTCGCCATCCAACCCCCCTCACACTTTCACCCCCTTCCCCGGCCCCCACCGCCTGATAAGAAACAGTATCTGAACACACCTGTATAGTCTGTGCAATATCATTCCAGTTGATCTCATCATGATCCTTGTCTTTGGCCAATTGTAGTAGCTTCTTGTCTTCTTGTTTAGTCCATGGTTTTCGGTTCACACGAGGATGACCAAAATGACACCAACGCAGCTGGCACTCCATTGCACTTCGCTTTGGCAGCTAAATATTTATTGAGAAATAAGAAAAAGGCTTGTTTGTACAGCTATTTTGAAAACGGTTGTCAGACCTATAGAAGATAGGAAATTCTAAGACGTAAAGAAATTGCAGGTATATAACTAAACACTAACAACGAAAGGCCTTTGAAGCGCAACTACATTAAGTAAGGCCAACCAAACAAATTTTGAAATCATATTTACAAATCACAATTCTAACGCCTTATAGTACACTCAACAAAATTACTTGACTCTGATTGGTCGAGAGGAGTACAATTATAGCGTTAATTGTACTCTGTAGGAGTACCGAATTAAGTCGCTATGGCAACACGGCCAAAACAATGTTAAAACAATGTTAAAACAATTATTTTCTATCATTTTGTACTTTAAAAACATAAATAAAATTTTAAAGCCGTAAGAACTAATCTTTTTTATGCATTTCAGTTGCACGATGGACTGGAAATCAGCCGCCAAATAGACAAAGATGAACGGCGTCTTTTCGCATTTTTTACTGAAATTTTGTTGAGTGAACTATAAACAAAAAATCGCACGATCTTCTCGTACAWTTTGGAATTAATAGACACTCGTAATGTTTTGAAAGTTCTTTAATTGTACTCGTCTAAAGGCTCGTGCAATTACAAGAACTTTCAAAACATTACTCGTGTCTATTAATTTCCAAATTGTACTCGAGATCGTGCGATTTCCTATACGAATAATACATTAGTTGATGAATTCTGGATCTTGAAAAATTTTTTTCACTCCTGATCATACACACACTTGTATAAAGTAAAATATATCCTTTTAAAGGGAAAAATAGTGAAAATTTATACAGATTCTATTGTTTAAATGCTCAATCGTGATTGGCTAATTTGTATGGAAATTTATCTGGGTGACCTTGGTTGGTGTAGTCACACTGTAAGTAGTTTCGCCTACCACAAACAACACTGAAAATCTGAACATAAATTTGAATTTTAAACTAGTTAGCAAAAACGTTTTGCCATTTGGGAAAGCATCTCAAAATTTATGAACCTGGCAAATGTGAACATGTTTTGAACGAAAAAAATCAGAATTATGAGCTTTCAAAAATGTCGAAAATTTACAGAGAATGTATGGATAGCGGGGACGCTTGTAACCATACATTCTTTAAAAATTGTTCTATTCTATGTATCAATCTAAATATCAATGATGTGAGCAAAAAAAAAAAAAAGGTAACAAACTAGTTTGAGTATTCGGGCCCACTTGTCTTTGTCGAGAAGGTTTGCAAAAGGTAAAGTGAAATGTAGAGAAACGATGAAAACGTGGTCACGTTTGCCGTTTGCGGGAAGGAAAAACGGTAATCTTAATCTGTCTATTATCTGCCAATAGTCGGGTTTTATTTAGTAAATATTACAGTTCATTGAATTCTCTTTGTGCTTCTTACATATTCAGTGCTTAGTTTTTCCCAGTCAAGGCCTTCCAGGTCTTGTTCCAGAGCTCTGGGTGCCAACTCCCTGGTAATAAACAAAACATTATATTTTTTACAAGAAATGTTTTTGTGAATAAAGCGTTGGTCTGGCTCAAGGGCTTTAACCCAAGGCTTTAAATTAATATATGATTTTTGTAAAATAAGATGTGCCGATTACTTTGCAGTCTATATTCAACGAGTCATTTTGGTTTTACTTTGGGCACTGCAAAAATGTTGTGACCTAAAATCAGTAAGAATGGCTAAAGCTTTTGGGCATTGAGCAACTATTCTCGACTTTCACATCCCCATAATGCCTTACGTCTTTGGGGGGTAACCAATCAAAAAACTGTCCCAAATTGAAAGGTTTCTTAATTGAATTTATACTATA